GAGAAACCCCTTGAGCGTGCAATGATAGAAACCTGTGAATAATTGTCTGTAGGTGTGTAAGGTTTCTATCATTGCACGCTCAACGGGTGTCTCGCTTCGATGCAAAGGCACGGTTACCTTTCAAGATGGCGCAGGGAACCGTGAAGGAGACTACTGCCTCTTTTAATTGATTAAGAGAGCCTGGACTTATAATAAATCAAATCAGGATACCTGTGCATCGAATGAAATCCTGGTGGTAGCAACAGCACCATACACTATCAGACCGTATTGTATACGCTCAGTTCCATAGGTCTGTACTATAGTCTTGATGGTATCCTTCATGAGACGAAATGTTTGGTCAGCAAGGCTAGATGTGGCTGAGACAGCAAACACCAGATCGATTTCAGGAGTTTCTAGGAAAAAATGAATGACGTTCAAGATTCTGCAAGACGCAAGTCAGTACTTATAATGAAACGTTTACGTATGTGTTGACTGCAATGATCGATATGTTATGTCTCCTTACATAACTTTTTGGCTTGGTATATTTTGATCTGGACCGATATGTGTTAGCTTGTTAGCACTGGATAAGGAGCAATGTTACCAAGTGTTGACCCTGATCATTTACTAGTAAAAGTCAATACTGCTGATCCTAATAAAATTCTTAAAGATGAGAAAAATACCCGACTATATCCCACAATTTGAATCGGTCATCGGTCAACCTCTTCTGGTAATCAACATGCATTGAATTGGGTGAGCAATCTACCTGGTTTCAACCCCTTCTCGATCTTTTCGATAATTTCCTGCCCTGTCTTAAGGGGATCCAAGTCATTCGGCTTCTTAATAAGATTTCTTTTATCGTCCGTTGTCTGCTCTAGTTCAGGTGTGCTTGCATCTTCACCCACGCTCACAGGGATGACAAGAACTTTCTTGTCACGTAACGGCGYCGCATCTCGTTTGATGTCAGATAAGCTGCGTCCTGATGCCTTGTCAGTGATGATGACTAAAACCTTGCGATACAATTGGTGATAAGTGTAGCAAGTTGGCCATTGATCTTTTCTCAGAATTTAAAAAAGAGGGAATGGGACAGGAGCGAGGGGGAAGCGAAGGGGATGAATGGATGGGGGAAAGAGGGGGGGTGGAAGGGGGAAGGGAAGACGAGGGGGAAGGGGGAAGGAGGAAAACAAAGATGGAAGGGAAAGAGAAGGAAGACTGAAGGAAAGGTGGGAGAGGTATTGGGATAAGAAATTTTGTTTAATACCCACAAAGACTAGTACACAACTTACCTTTCTGGCATCTGGTCGATCAGATTTGTCAAATCCTCTGTTTGCYTCRCYGAGTGCTGCAWTWATGCTACTCCCACCTCGACTTCGCGACAAACCAGTTATAAGCTCGAYCATCTTCTTATCATACACTCGTACATTCTCATCAAAACGCAGCAGCGTTCTTGCTGTGTCTGCGAACACGATAATACTGAACCTTGTTCTKGTGAAGCCATATTCATCGTATATGTACTTGAYTACGTCCTTCATTCGTCTAAACGTGTCGTCGGACTGAGATGCAGTTGAGGAGATAGCGAACGTGACATCCATCTCGGGCAATTTTGGKGCATCTGAAAGGGAACATGGAGTAAACGAAGGAAATGGGATTGGAAGACAAGATGAATGAGAATTTATCTACCCCATCAATACGGCCACTTTCCGKTGGCCGTTCGGTGACCRGATTAGCGAGGTTCCACTGTATRAAYAAACAATCATCAAAGCTATACCTTTCATGGCAAATTTCATGATTTCTTTYCCAAGTTTAACAGGATCYCCATCGTCTTTGTCTGTGATGGTCCTATACTGAGGGGAGACAGCGCCAAATGTAGCGAGATCAACATCGTCACCGATGGCTACRGGAATGATATGGACGCCTTTGTAYACTACAGGTTTTGCTGCTGWTTTCATGTCAGTTGCACTTAGCCCAGAACTCTTGTCTGTRATCACGACCARTACTTTTTTAGCGTCTGGACGAGAACCTGGAAAAGATAGAAATGATTTGATGGTACTATGATTGAAATGATGATCATAATAATGACAGTGATGATTAATATGATGGTGATAGTCTTCTGCTGATATCACCTATCACAAGGTGCGCGCGTATTCGTAACTATGTCCGATGAGAAACTGCTAAGCAGTTAATGATGATAATGACAAGAGTTGCCATTCATGTCAGTGATAATGATGGAGATGATAACAACGATGATGATGATGATGGAGACGATGATGATGGTAATGATGATGGTAAGGAATAGTGATGATGATGGTATATGGTAGTGATGATGTTGGTGATAATGATGATGATGATGGTGATTACATTGATGCAAAGGTTACATCAATATTTGCAATACAAGAAGTTTATCACACAACCAACAAATACTTCAAAATGCACGGTACAAACCTGATCCATCAAACACTTGTTTTGCTTTAAGCAACGCGTTATTCACTGACGACCCGCTATTATCACTAGGAAGTGCGCTGACCAATTTCATTAGGGACTCAGAATCAAGTACTTTGTCCTGAAAATCTCGGTGAATGGTAGCAAATGACCCATAGACGATAAATCCATAATGGATAGAGTCCACACCGTAGGTGGATATGATGTAATTGATAGTTTTTTTCATCAGGGGGAGGGTGCGGGATGACTTTGCTGATGATGCACTCAGTGCAAATAGAAGGTCCATCTTGGGAACCCTGTTTAAAGCTGGAAAAGATGGGACAAAAAAGGCTTAAAATTAAAAACAATAAAGAGTCATACAAGGAAACAAGATGCAAGGGTGAATGAAGAGAGGAGGGAAGGAACGGAAATAGCAAAGTGAGGGAGGGAGAAAGGGAGGGAGAGAGGGAGGGAGAAAGAAAGAAAGTACGGCTGGAAGTGAAGAAGGAAGGGATAAAGGTTGAGAGGGAGAAAAGAACAGAGAGAGGGAGGAAGAGATGAACGAATAACGGAGGAATAGCTGGAAATGAAGAGGTGCACAAGAAAGGTATCAAGTTTGCGAGGGAGAAAAGAAGAGAGAGGGAGGAAGAGATGAGAGAAAGGAGAAGGAATGGATGGAAATGAAGTAGTGTGGAAGCAAGGAATCAAGGTTGCAAGGAACCAAAAAAAGGGAGGGAGGTAGAGAGGTAGAGATGAAACGAAGGAGAGGAAGAAGAATGAGAGAGGCGATCAGATAGTAACACGGGTCAACAGTACTAACGACTAAAATACCAATGCCTTACCTTCTAGTATCTTATCAACAATCTTCCTGCCCAGACCACTTGGATCAGTAATTTTATCAATCGTAAGAATATTGTCCTTGTCTTTCGTSACGCTACCCAACTCACCGACATCAAYATCTTTACCGATACCCACTGGTACYGTGACAACACCCTACAAAACAACATAGTACARCATATTTGATTGGTTGGTTGAAGTACTTAATGTAAAACGACCTGTAATTGGCTTGAAGTAATKTTTRAGAAATAAAGTGCAAKTTGATTGGCTGGAWGAGATATTGGARATATAAAACGTACATTGATTGGTTGAAAATTCTTGATAAGGTGTTCCATGGATATAAAATGCAAACTTATTGAAGAGTTCAACATTTAACATAAAAATGTGTCTATAAGATGCTTGATGAAATATTGACGCGATTACAGAATTAAAAAATGCAATTTAAATGAAAGTTTGTTGTTTAATTGATTTTTGCAATAAAAAAAACGTACTTCATGTTCAAGAAATCTGGCCTGGTTACGAAGATCAACATCCGGGACATTCGACCTCTTGTCTGTGACGATCACCAAAACCTTGTGCGCATCGGGACGAGACCCAGGCCCCCTCAGCACCTTGCGTCCTTCTTTCATCGCTTTGTCCAATGATGATCCACCGCGCAAACGTGGTACAGCGTCAATAAACTTCTTCAATAGTTGTTCAGTGTAATTGTCCTTAAAATCTGTCTTCATCGACGCTTCGTCGGAATACACTATGAAGCTATATCGGAGTGCTCCGATTCCATAGCGATCAATTATCGATTTGATGGCGTCTTTGGTAAGTTTGAAGGTTTGGTCGGCGTTGGTAGCTGTAGCGGTGACAGCAAGTGCTAAATCGATCTTCGGAATTTTGATTTGTTCTGAAAATTTACAATTTATACATAATTAATTTATATTGCAAAGAGTATCTTCCTAATTGGGAAAAAAATTGTCTAGCTCTTCCTTTGGTCTGTTCCACAAAAAGACATTTTAATAAGGTTTTAATAGCCGACTTAGATATTTTGGTTCAATGCCCATGCACAAAAGAATTGTAAACGGGGCTATGGGGAAATAAACGAATACATTTAGATTCTCCATTGTTTCCCGGAGCCTCGCCCGCAATTCTTTTGTACATCGTTATTCAAACAAAATATATAAAGTTGACTATTCAGTCTGTCTGTCTGTCTACGTCACCTTTTAATAGAATAACCACAATTTTCTTTCCGACAGCCTCTGGATTATCATTCCTTGTAACCTGTAAAAGATTATCTTTTTCTGGAGTAGTCAACAACAGCTGGCTTGCATCGACATCTCGKCCAAACCCCACAGGAACGACCCTGACACCTTCTTTCTCTAGAGCCCTTGCTCCTGCTTTGATGGCCGCGTCYGTTGAATCTGACTTTCTGTCAACAAATATCACAACAGCCTTGCGGGAGTTCTTATTACTACCTGGAAAACATAGTACAAGCTTATGAATACCTGGAAATCATGGTACAAGCTTATGAATACCTGGAAATCATAGTGCAAGGTACGCAGTAATAATCGGCTTTTGCATTGAAATTGGGAGTTTTTAACCCTGTTTCTCCGCACGTCTTGACCAGGAATGCCTGGTTAATATCTCTATTTACCTGATTCACTGAAAAGTTTCCTGGCTTCCTCCATGGCCTTATCAATGGCTGGTGCACCTGACCTTCTGGGGAGATTTCCAATAAACCTTTTAAGATCTTCAGGTCCAGGCATTTTATCGGCAAATCTTAGTCGTGTTGAGGCCTGGGAGCCAAAGATGATGACACTCATTCGAATTCTGCTTGCGCCACACGTGTCAATGATGGAATGGATTGTGTCCTTCATCAGCGGGTAAATGGTATCGGCATCACGTGAAGACGAACTGATGGCAAATACCACGTCTATATCATAGGCTAGACCTTTGAATCAAATAAAGAAATCAACAAATAGATGATAGATTGACGGTTTGATGGTTGATTTTCTGATTAATTGAATTAGCCGTTGTCGGTTGATTGAATTTTTATTAATCAAATTCACTATATTCCACACTCAGGTCCAGTGACCATGATCAAAGCATTGAACCAAGGCGTCAATGTACTTTTAGCATAGAAAAGATCTGTGGTCAGTGTTCCTTGGCGCCTCGGTTAAATGCTTTGTTCGTGGTCACTGAACCTGAAAGTCGTGAATTAGCTGCTCTTTGACAGATTGACAGACTTTTCTTATACACAGTAACAATTTATTTTCAGAGTTCAGTAATCATTTTCATCACCATCATTGTACCTGGAAACACTCCATGCATAATCTTATCACCAACTTTGCCAGGTTTTGCTGTCTTCTCCACTGTTATTAGATTATTTGGTGTGGTAACCATGGCATTTTGAAGGTCTGTTGTAATCGCTGCGTTGTCAATGGCAACACCAATAATCTGGATATTTGACGTCTGTAAAGGCCTGGCTGCAGATTTGATGATGTCACGGTTCACTATTGGCCTACTGTCCATCATTAAGACCAGGATCTACAAATAAGCGGCAATAGATAAGCGAAGAAAGCTTGGAAGAATCGAAACGTGTGTGAGCCATAACAACAACTTCAACAGCGACAACAACTACAA